ACACTGTGAAGGTTTTAAAAAGTCGAACCTTCACAGCAAAAACACTGTGAAGGTTTTAAAAAAGTATAATCTTCACAGCAAAAACACTGTGAAGGTTTTAAAAAGTCGAACCTTCACAGCAAAAACACTTTGAAGGTTTTAAAAAGTCACCTTCACAGCATTTGTATTGTGAAGTTTCAAGTGTAAAATGTTGGTCTCACGAAAACAGGCTGGTCTCACATGATCCCAAGTCTATATATATATATAGATAGATAGATAGATAGATAGATAGATAGATAGATAGATAGATGGTGATTGAAACATGTGGTCGATACTGAGTTGTTTTTGTTACAGAAGGTGTAGGTAGGAAGACAAGTTATACCTTTTAAAACCTTACCATCTCAATGAAATATCACAAATCATCATGTTGATATTCAATTGTTGTATCCACCATCACCATCCGGTCCACCCCTGCTGCCAATATTCAATTCTCGTTTCCAGTACCATCACCACTCGGTCCACCCCTGCTGCCAATGTTGTTGTTGTTGCAGTCACCATCTAAATTACACATCTCCTATAACTTCCCTAAAACACCAATAAACCCTACACTTCTATAGTATCCACTTATTTATCAAGGCTTACGACATTCGTCTACAATCTCTTGACTGTTTAGAGACCCGAGTCGAGTTTTGGATCATCACCCAAAGCGAGCACACAACATTTCTCGCCTGATTCTTGTTTGTTTGTTCCATCGATTTCTTCTACCACCATCGTTTTGTTAATCCCGGTTCCTGAATTCATTGTCGGGCACCGCCATTTGATGCATTTCGGCCACCTCCTACTCGAGATTTATCTATTAATGTTGTTGATATAGTGGTTTGCAAATATGTCATCATGTAACTCCTCGTCAATCATTTGCATAACTTAATTTGGAATACTTAAATTTACCCTAAAATTAACCAACGAGATCACCATGCTAACTTGGTCGATGGCATATATGAATTATGAACCGATTAATGCCTCATGGTTCAAACCAGCTCGATCGAACACCTTGTCCCTAAACATCTACTTTTCCATGAAGTTAGGTTAATCACTTATGGATAAAATGTGATGAGAAATTGCTCAAATTATATTTTAAAATATGGGTTTTTAGATGTCGAGATCATCCAAAGTGTATATAAAAAATGTACTTTAGACGGTGTGTAATGACGTGGTTAAGGGGATCAACCCGTATCTAAGTTGCAAACGAGCTTTCGTAGGTAATTATTGTTATTGCTTATGGACCCGACCTAGGCATGATGTATTCATGACTAGGATGAAACTTTGGGTGAAACCAAATGGAGGTCCGAATTGATGAGTTAGCATATGAAAGTTTTGGTTAGAGATAAAATGTCAATCGAACCCAAAATAGAATCGGTTGGACGTGTCGAGATAATTAAAACACTGTTTCAATGCGAGCTGCGAAATCAATACCAAATTGATGCAATTTAACATCAAAATAATGAGCCCAATTTATTATTTTGGCCCCTCGACTTTGAAAAGTCATATAGACATATTTTGACCAACATAACAAGCAACGATAACTCTAATAATCTAGTACACATTGTATGTGTGTTTTCCATATACATACATATATATATATATATATATATATATATATTTGATTTTTCTTATGATTTTTATGCTTTTCTTATCTCTTAGCTTTTTTAAGAAAGTCGTTTTCTAATTAATTCAAAGAAAAAATACCATGTTGAACATTTATAAGTTAACTTATTTTATTAATTATAAGCTATTTTTCTTAAAACTACTTCAGGTGAGACGTTTCAATAAAGTCGAGGATCATTTTCACCGTTTTCTCAATTTTTGCTCATAAACTGCATAAATGACTAAATATTATATCATTTTAGATAAATTTTCGCTGATTTCTAGTTATCACTTAGTTTTTCTGAAATATAACTAATTTAACAATTAATTAATCAGTTATATCTAGTTTATTTAACCTAAAACAACCTTATGTTAGTCAATAATTAATCTATTGGTTAGTTTATCGAATACAACAAACTAAAAAATACACAAGTTACAGTAATTTGCAAAACCAAATTATGATATATATATATATATATATATATATATATATACCATGACAAAGTTTAATGAGTTTTCTGGATTATTTTTTAAAAATAAAATAAAATGCAAGTCTTAAGAGTGAATATTAGGGCACAAA